CAGTGTTATTAGCTCATTTCTTATTTTAGAAAACTAAGCCCAAAGAAATTAAATTCTTTCATTTATCAAATATATATTGAGTGTCTATTATGTGCTAAGAATATACTTCGATGCCCTCAGGAGCTTAAATTCCAGCAGGAAGGCAGACAGGCAATCTCCATAAGGTGACATGTGAGTTCTAAACACGTTAACGACAGGACTTCCCCAGTGGAGAAAGCCTCTGTCCCTAATGGCGTTAGCTATACCCACAGTTGCCTAATTTGTTCTAAGTTCATGATGAGAATCTCAAAAGAAAAGCCGAGGTACTGGGTGAAACTGCTGGAGGGCAGTTCTGTTTCTTTTGTATCTCCCGCCCTACTTCAAACCCAAAGCGCTCAAAGCTCAACACGTGTTTGCTGTTGTCGTTCTTCCCGCAGAAGAACCGCTCGCCCAGGCGTTTCCTCACTCAGGGGGCTGCAGCTGCACCCTTTGCGGGGACCCCTCCTCTCCTCCCCCCTCCCACCTTCAGTATAAGCGCTACCAGCTCCCCCTCCTTTACGCCCCCCATGACCCCCGAGGGAGCCTTTTTTCCAGCCAGCATTTCTTGCTCGGGCCTGTGCCGTCCAGCCTCCCGCGGTTCTGATCTCTCACATACGAGTCTCAGCACGCATTCCAGGACTTTAAAGGTCATGGTCCTCTGTCTCTGCAGGTGACAACTCAAAACCTTTCGCCTGGGTCCGAGATCCTTCTGCAAGGGGGCCCCGCCTCTCCCGCCTGGTGCACGGGCGGCCTCTTCCCTCCGGTGCGACGCGGGCCTCCGACGGCCCGTCCGTTCCCTCCCCCCGCGGCCGCCTGTCCCGCTCGCAGGTGAACTGCTGACCTCTAGGCGAACCTCGCACGGCACACGGCGAACGTCTACCCGCTTCAAAGCCTTGCCTGCGTCCTGGGCGGCCCTCCTCTGGAATTAACCACACCGTCTCATCATCCAGTGCCTCCCAGGAGGCTGCGAACTCACCCTGGGGCGCGCACGTCTGTCTCCGCGCCTACGGGATGCTTCACGCGGGAAGCAGCCCCGCTTAGTGACTGAGGGGACGCGGGAGCGCGCCCGGGACGTCCTCAGGGACGGCTGCGGACCGGGCGTCCTCAGGGACGGCTGCGGACTGGCGGAGGGCTGCTCAGTCGGGAGCTCCCCTCAAGCGCGCCCCCCGCGCCCAGGTGTAAGCACAACTCCTTTAAGGGCAACATCCTCACAAATGCCCTTACTGGTCCAGGGCAGGCCCGGGCCTTCGGAAAACCTGCAGACGGCTAGGGGGCAACGTGTTTTGCCGCAGTGCCAAAATCTCCCCACTTATTTAAAATGTACCTTTATTGATTTCAGAGAGAGGAAAGGAGAGGGAGAGAGAGAGAGAAACATCAGTGATGAGAGAGTCATGGATCAAGCCCACAACCCAGGCACATGCCCTGGGAATCGAACCCGGATCACCTGGATCCTAGGTCGATGCTCAACCACTGAGCCACGCCCACCTGGCAAAATCCTGCCATTTAAAACAGCAAAAGTTTGCGGGGGCCGTGGGCTCTAAATATGCGTGCATTGACTCGCCGTGTTTTCCTGGTGTGAAGCACGCGCCTAAAGGGTTCTGCCAGCTGCTGAGGGGCCCCGCACCTCTTTCCCGCCTCCCCAGAAGCCCAGGGGGAGGCCCTCGGCCACTCTCC